CGGGTCTGCGGGAGACGGTCCCCAGCAGACCAGAGGCACCGGGAGCAAAGCCGAAGCGGCAGCGGGGTCCCGCACTTCTGAGGCTTTGCTCTGGCAAAGCCTCAGAAGCGCGGGAACCCGCCCGGTGCCCCTGGTCTGCGGGAGACGGTCTCCAGCAGACCAGGGGCACCGGAGCAGCTTACGAATGGGGCTTTCTCGCCCTGACCTCCGGGGCGAGAAAGCCCCGTTCGTAAGTGCGGATCCGACGTAAGTCGGATCCGCGTAAGTCGGGGACTGCCTGTATATAGCACAGATTTGGTGGCTTTGTTGCTAATCAGTCTAGTTAGCAAAATTAGAGACTATAATAGAAGTTAAGTTCATAACCACCATTACTAGTCACTGTGAGCAGAGGAAAACCTGTTTTCTGAGTATGTCCCAAATAAAGCAGCCATCTTGAGTCAGTAGGTGAAAGTTGTGCACTATCCTATAACATTTCATGCAGCATTTTTTATCCAGAGCACTTTCCAAAATATATACATAAAGCTCAGCTGGAATGTGCGGCCATGTTCTCAGTTCTTTCAACTGAGGCACAAGATGGGTGGATGAGTGGAGGGATTGTTTGTGTAATGACACTGAGCAAACTTTCTCCTCTTGCAAAATGCCTCATATACTCTCCAAAGTTCACACAGAGCTCCAGTTTTAAGGCCAAGTCAGAATACTTCTCACAGCAAACTGCGTGGAGCTCAGTCTGTCTACCTTGAGGATAAACACTTAACCCAGTTCTGCTCAGGTTTGAAGGGGTGTCTAATGAGCTCAAAATTTGTGCCTAAACTACTCTGCCACCATTTCAGCATGGCTTAGGAGCCACATTGCTGTTTCTGTGTCATTGTTTTCCTAGATCAGATTCACTTTCCACTGTAAATGCTTCTGCCAAACTCTCTCCCCTCTTCAAACACCTTGTATTTCTCATTTTATGTATATCCTGATCTCCTCAGAAATGCAGTACAATTATGCTCTTGACAGTAAGTAGCCATCTCCTCTGTGCAGGGCTACGCCAAGCTGCAGCAGACACCAATTGACTTTGCACTACAATAATCTACTTAATCATTAATACATAAACAATGCATTGTCCCCCTGCGAGGTAATTCAGTAACATTAACCCTATTTTATAGATAGCTTCTCTGACTTCCTAAGAGACTTGCCCAAAGCCACCCAGGAATTTACTGGCAGAAGCAGTAGAGCCCAGGAGCTCTATTCTCTTGCCAGAAGAGACAAGCAGCTGTTAGTGAGCCAGAGGGGAGAGGTGTGTAACTGAGGGTGGTAGAAAGTAAGATCCCATGTCTCTTGCAGGCCATTGTCCTTCCAAAGAGCCCCACCCCTTCCTACCGGTCACTGAGACAGTGGGGGTCCTCACCTGATGACAATCCCACCATTGACTAAAAGGCAGGGGTGAGAGAATAGCTCAACCACTCCCACATTCCCTACAGAGCAATGCTGCTTTGACACTGCACATCATGGCATCTCGCTGGCTGGAGTAGGACCCTTTTCTCCTTATCTAACTTTCCTTTCTTTAAGCTGTGTAGTAACATACTCTCACCTGCAAATAATTTCATTGGCCTGACAGCTGGCCCACATATTCATTAGGTCTTTCCCACCCACATCCCCAAGTCATTACATGGGAGTGACTGTAAACTAAATGCCAGCTTTGCGTTAAGCAAGAGGACCATAGCATAGGTGCCCACACAGGGGAATCAGCTCAGTATTATCTCTGTTTGAGACACAGAAGTAGAGATACAGAGATTAAGTGATTAACTGGAGGCACTGTAATATGATAGGGGAGACCTAGAGTTAACTGCTAGGAGCCATAATTTCTGGCTTCTTGTGAGACAGGAGCAAATCTCTGAGCTGCTGGGACACAGAGCCCTACTAGCTTCAACAGGGATCTATTTACATTCCATAATTTGCCAGATCAGCATCTCAAGTCCCCATGCAAGGAAGCCAAGTATATTTGCAACTTCTTGAACAAGTATGACTTTGATTTTTAGAACGATTTAGGAACAGTTCTCCTTAAAATTGTGTTTTAGGTCAGCTGTAGCCCACACCATTGTTAAGATCAGATTTGGTTCCAGCAGAATGGGAGTTCCCTAATGCATTATTTAACAGGGCCTATTAGACACTGCACACAACTTTCAATTTCCAAACAAGTGCAAAGCCCATTTAATTTCTATGAAGGGAAGATGCTTTGCATCCAGAAAGCTGTTCCATCCCGCAGCTCCAAAGCTCCCTCGTGGACAGGAATGGGAACTAACCCTCCCACCACCAAGGGATCACTTGCCAGTGTTAGTGTTAAAAAAAAAAAAAATACAACCAAACTCCACTAGCTCATAGGCAATCAGGTATGCTAGCTAGCTCTACTACTCAGGAAAAAGTCTTGAGTAAGGAATGTGGAAACTACCCTCAGAGCTGTTTTTACTTACATAAGGCTTACATAAGGTTACTTACCTAAAAGCCATCCTACACAATGTGTGTAGCAGGATTTTCAAAAATCAGTTACTCAAGGTTAATTTCTTACCATAAGTATTAAGAAATGAAGAAAAAAGTGTCTCACAATCATTCAATAAGTGCTAGGTTTGATCAATCTACACATTTTAAAATACAAAAATGAGGGGGACGGTTATTATATCAAAGCCTCTAGCAAGTCTTAAACCATCAAGAAATTTGAATTAAACCTTTAATTATTACCTCTTTGGGAGCAGGCAGGACCAACTTTCCTGGAAAGTTTCTGATTTAATTTTGTAGCAGATACAGCCCTTTTCCAAAGAGTCATAAGCAACCCTCACCCAAGCTTAACTCTTTACTTTCTTCTTCCTAGGCCTATCAATTATGAGTTACAGCTGATAGCCATCTGAAAGGAGCCGCACTCAGTAATTCTCTAGCACCTGAATGAAATCAACATTTAAATTACACCATGCTAAATGTAAGCAATGCAAATATCATTGTAAAACAAACATACCAGAGCAGCCAAGAGATTGAAATTATTATGGTTAGTGCAATCAGCAAGTAGCCTTCTTCATTAGCTGTTCTGTAGAAGATTAATATTATCAGCATAATTCAGCAATGTGGAAAACAACAGTGGGCATGTGGAATTACTAAGCTGATTTCTATTACTTATTTCCTAAAGCTGACAGTAAATCTTTTTTTTCAGTGTGAAAAAGCTAAAGCTAAACCCAAGTCCTTTTAGTTGGTTGTACAACAGCTCATCAGCCTGACCAGTTTTAACTTGCATTTAGCTAGGGTTGCCAAATGGTTTCAACAAAAATACCGGACACACTTGACATTACATCACATCTTCAGAAAATACCAGACATTTATATTTTCTCAATTTGTTTCCCGAACAGAAAGCTCAAATACTAGACTGTCCAGTTCAAAACAGGACACCTGGCAACTCTACATTTAGCATTTTCACAGCAATATAGTTTGATTACCTCCTGCAGGAGAGAGAATGGAACTTATTTATGTACAGCAGTATTTTTCATGTTTGGAGCCCTTTGCAGATATTAAGACGTTAATCCTGACAACATCTGCATGACATAGGGAAGTAAGAGGGTAATTTAATCTTATGTTTAGATGGGGGAAACTAAGATAGAAAAATTAAGACAAGGCCAGAGGGTGTCAGAGCCAGACTTAGAACACTGCAGAGCTGACCTCCAAGTCCCATGGTTTGATTATCAGACAACATCACCTACACGTTTCCATTTGTTCCTGTTTGTGGAGACTAGAGGATGACCATATGAGTTCTACAAGCACATGACACATATTAGTACCTCACCACATTGTTTTCTGTTCCTGGAAATTGCCTAGCAGGGAGGTGCGGGTGGGGTGGGAGGACCTGTGTGCATGCAGAGCCCCACTAAAATCAATAGAGAAGCTTGCAAGGTCAAGTGCCAAGTGTGATTGCAGGAGCTTAAGCCTGTAAAACATTGGGTGCAAGAATTCAGGGACAGGACCAGTCATAACACAGGCTCCACAACTTCCTCAATATAATTCCTAGAGCAGATCTTCAGCAAAACAACTGATCTTGATTTTAAAAATTGTTGGTGAAGGAGCATAAAACATGAACCTTGGTAAATTGTGCCAATGGTTGATCACTCGCTGAGAAAAATGTATGTCTAATTTATTTCACTTGATGAGAATTTGAAAAAATATATTACACAAGTGCCAAGAATCCAGTAACACTGCTGACCTCACGAGTAATTTAAAATGTTTAATTGCAGCTGCTTTAGGCTGTCTGCTAACATGACTATTTTATTTTAATACCTTAGGTAAAACAGTGATTTTGTGACTGGTAGGGGTACTTAAAGCACTTACTACTCCTTTGATTTATCTAGAAATTGATACACCATCCAGAAGGGACAGATGAACAACACTTTGCTCATATGCTAGGTATGAACTGCTCTGCAGCTGTTCACACACAAAACAAATGCTATCTATAATATACATTAAATTTAAGAGGCTGTTGGTAAAAACCATACACTCTTGCTCATAATTACACAGAGCTGGAGGCCTGGAACTAATTCCACATATAACCATATTAATTCACTCCTTGAAATCCTGCAAAGCAAGTAACCGGTTTTACAGTTCATAAAAAATTTCCAGTGCCATTCATGCACAGTTCTTATGGATGTAAAGAGATGCTGGGTCATACGTGCATATTGCATGTTTAAGCATTAGAGAGTATGAATGCTTTTCCACATATCAGTTTGCCAAGACCTACATTTTTGGTTGCATACTGAAACTATTTCAATAGCTGATTGAATTTGACTAGCCTACTGTTAAAACACAAGAGGGAGTGTAGGAAAAAAAGTTGGGGAGGGAGGATCAATAATGATATATTTTAATAAAGCGTGATTTTAGAACAGTGATCATATAAACTGATTTTTCCTAACATTTCATAATTACCTTTTAAAAGTTAGAATTAAAATAAAAAATGAGTTTCTTCCCTTTTCTGAATGTATTAAAATTGCTAGTGGCACTTAGTCCATCCTTTCCAAATGAATGTTTCTTAAAGTGCACAAACAGCAGTTCAAATGCCAAAAGGTAGGTATTTCAATCATTTGAGTCCCCCCCCCCTCCCAAACTCTAACAAAGCATTTACAACCTTATGTATAGGATGGGGTGGGCAATAATTTTTGCAGAGGGGCCACTTCATGAATTTTGGCAGTGGGGCCTTAGGTAAAAAGGGGCTGTTCCCTGTGGGCATGGCCCACCCCTGGCAGGGAGAGGAGATTTCATATGCTCCCAGGCCCTCTAGGCATGACCCACTGCTGAGGGCGGTGGAGCGTGCAAAATCTTTACCCTCCACTCTACCAGGGGCACACAGTGCCTAGAGCAAACCGCCAGCCATTCTGAACAGCAGGTAGCTCCCTCTGGTGCTGTGAATCCCTTGGGAGAGGACGAGATTGTGCAATCTCCTATCCTTAGGGGATATTTGGCCTGGGGGCAGGGGAGCAGCAGCGCAGTCACAGGCCAAATCTTGCCCACCTCTAGTATATAAGGTGGTATCATCTGCCCATTATGATCTCATGCATCAAATGATTGTTGAAAATGCAGTGTAGGTTTATGGCTCATGCACTCAAAAACTCCTAACTTATTTAACACCCAATATTGAGGCAATGATTTTTCATCTTTTCAGCACTTTGCAAATGTATGGAGTAAAATAAGTTGCATGCAGCTGTCTGAAACCAGTTAATATTTTAAAGTAGAGTGTGAATTTAACATATGCATGACCAACATATTCTTAATCACATTTAGTTCTGTTGTCTGTTTTTTAAAACAGTTAAGCACTACAGTACAGTGAATACTAAAAAACTTAAGAAATCTTGCTTTTTAGGAATATTTTTGGCCATTGAATATAAAACATTGGCCTTCACTCACCATGAGAAAACTATCTAGTCTCTTATACTCCCCCCCTCCTTTCATATATTAAAAAAAAATCCCCGAAATGACAGTGCTATGTTAACAGAAGGTAGCCTCTGTTTGGATGCAGTTAAACTTACTGACAAAGTCTCCTAAGCCATTTTAATGATATATCCTGGCACCTGCTGAAACAAACTGTTGAATCTAATTTCTTTCATAGCTTGAAAAGCCAGAAAGTTATAATAGCAATCACAACCATTTGATACACAAGGCCCTCATATTTATTAACTATTGCAAATACCAATAGTTTCCTAAAATTAAAATCAGTACTCAAAATAGCCATTTGTGTGTGACAGCACTTCTCTGAAATTTTTTGAACTTATGTGATAGTATCAGATGGGTAAGTGAAAAAACCTCCAGTATGACCCCAAGTACATAGAGCACAAGTTAATGATGTGTGTACACTATTTTGGCTTTTAAGTTGGAACTGTTCATGATGGTTATTTTGAAATGCAATAGTTTGGCTTTTTATTTAAAAATTTTGTTTTGTTCAAAAGTTGCTATTTACTTAGCTACAGGTTGCAAAAAACCTAAAAAAAAATAAAAAAAAAATAAATCTGGTGAGGAGGGGAAATTAAAAAAAAAAAAACAAGAGGGGAAATAAATAAAAAAATCACTTGGAACAAATTTCAGTCCAACCAAAGAAGAACAACAAAATCAGTTTCACTGTGAAACAAGTGGATTTTTTTGATTTTTTCAGTTCTACCCATGAACAGAAAAAAACCCCACACCACATTTACTCAGCTCTAATAAGCATCTTAAACTTTTCCTTGCAATTTCAGCATCATCCCAATTTATTAGTTCTGGTTTCTATATTTCCTTTGTCCTCTGTAACGATCTAACAATTGAATAATAGAACCAACATTACTGGTCTTTGAAATACTTCCTGATGCAAATACATCCTCCTTCTCTGCTGTTCAGCTTTCCATTATGAAAGTATCTGTTAATTTAATAATTGGTGTTTATGTTCCTCACAGGATAATTTCCCTTCTTTATAAAAGCTGTTTGCAATGTCCTAGTTTCGTTGCAAGTGACAGACTTAGTAAATTAGATTACAGATGTATGCATAGGTGTCTTGTGCACAAGTGACTCAGACACAGACACTTTGGAAGCCAAAAAAATAAAGAGATATTCTCTAGGAATATTGCATAGTGCTAATATACGTTTTGAAACACTAGGGTTTTTTTGGTTTTGTTTTGTTTTGTTAGAGTGCACAAGTCATACCAACAAGATAACATGGATAAAAATCTCCCAACCACTGAAGACCACTTCTGTTCCAGACTAAACACAATACATTCCCCAACAGCTTGTTTATTGTAATAAGAGTTACTTTATGAATAGGTCATTTTACATAGACATTTTAGAAATACATTCTTAATATGGAACTAGCAGCATTAAACATTCTTCCAAACAACTTTATTACTCTTAATTTGTTATTGTGAAAAGAAAAAGTAGCAGAACTAATTTAATCAACTGCCTTTTAATGCCATTTCTAGTTCTTTCATACTGGGAGAGGGTGCTATGTTAATAAAATGTTGTCGTTTAAAAATATCTTTAATCTCAAAAAGAAATGTTCTGAACAACTGCAGTAACAAAAATTAGCAGGGACCAATAGGCGATTGTTGAATTACACTTACAGAAAAGATACTTGGAAGAATAAACAAAGGAATACTAGGACACAGTTGTCTGAACTGCCAATAATTAAGGAAGCAAAGAGATCCAATGTAGGACAGGTCCTTCATTTGTGGCTATTTGCATATTGCCATCAAACATAAAAAATGTGTAGTCTGAAGAACCCCTTTTCAGAGGAATAGTTATTTTAAATGACAGGCATCCAGTTCCACAGGCAGAGCTCATCCCAGGTGGGTGAAGGATCACCAAGGACTACAGGAACCTATGCACTCCCGCAGATAACTTTCTGAACGGCCTTCCGAAACCTCCATCAGTGTTGTGCACACAGTCAGCTAGCAAGAGAAAGGAACTCATGTTATTCCTCCTGTGATTCACATTTTACTTATTTCAGATAGTCATTGAGGAACAGAGAGAACAACAACTATTTGTCTTTTAGCGTCTAATATTTCTAGTTTTGTATATTATGCGGTTTAATGAAATACAGGAAGTCCCCGGGTTACGTACAAGATAGGGACTGTAGGTTTGTTCTTAAGTTGAATCTGTATGTAAGTCGGAACTGGCGTCCAGATTCAGCCGCTGCTGAAACTGACCGCCAGCATTGAGGAACAGAGAGAACAACAACTATTTGTCTTTTAGCGTCTAATATTTCTAGTTTTGTATATTATGCGGTTTAATGAAATACAGGAAGTCCCCGGGTTACGTACAAGATAGGGACTGTAGGTTTGTTCTTAAGTTGAATCTGTATGTAAGTCGGAACTGGCGTCCAGATTCAGCCGCTGCTGAAACTGACCGCCAGTTCTGACTTACATACAGATTCAACTTAAGAACCCCAAG